TTATATATATATATATATATATATATACACACACACACAATAGTTTAATTTACAGTACAAATACAGCCAATTATGCAGCTTTGCGCTTAACAACAAACAAACCCTTTATGTTCAGGATATTTTGAAGTTAATATCTTTTTGACCTTCGAATAAGACTAAGAAAATATTTTAAAATGAATTTCTTTACTACCTGTGAAATAGTTTAGGGGTTGCGAGTTCGAACCCCCCCCCCTCACTGAACATGCTCGCCCTTTCTGTCGTGAGGGTATTATAATCTGACCCACTTATTTGATAAAAGAGTAGCCCAAGAGTTTGCGGTGGGTGGTGTTGACTAGCTGTCTTCCCTCTAGTTGGTCATTTCTGAATTAGGAAAGGCTAGTGCATTTACCTTAAATATGTTAACCAAGCTTATAGCTATGACGGAGAAAGTAAGCGTGAGGATAGTTAATAATACGCAGTAATAGTTAAACTAAAGTTACGAACTATTCATGTTTTTTCCCACTGGCAAATGATTGTCACATGATAAAATTTACGTAAAGGTATAGTGTATAATATATACAAACGTCATACGTGTTCTTGTTTTATGAAATGTTAACTTCACATCCACTAATATGTGAAAGTAATTGAATTAAATAGATAAAAGCTCCAGAGTATTTATTAAAATTCCAAAGGTACCACTTTTGTGACATACATTAAAAGTTACCTTTGTTATTCTTTGTAGATCCTATTAAAAAGAAAAAAAATCAAATTGAAACATGTCGTTTAAATAACTAAAATAGATAAAATAGAGGATAGTTTGTTTGTTATTTAGCACAAAAGTTCACAATGGGCTATTTGTGCTCTGCCCACTGCATTTAATACTATAAATTGCGCAGTTCTTTCTTCATTAATTAATTAGTATTTTTAAAGTATCAGTAACACCCAATATCTTTTATCATTATAAGTTCGCTAACTGTTATATAATATTATTAAAAAACTTAATTAATTGCAAATGAACACTGCTTACACAGTTAGTATTACATAATCTCTAGTTAAAACAATAATGAGATACAATTTAACGTATAATACTATATTATTACAAGTGAGGAATATTTATAATAATTTTCTCAGAAATATTGTATACTTTTACAGGATAATTTGTTTTGAAGGCACGTCACAAGAGTTGAAAGTTATGTTTTTAAAACCGGTATTGTACATTAGGGCATTTACCACATTACTGCTGGGAATAGTGTGGGTACTTGTACTTTTACAGGCATTATATTGTTGTGGCACTGTTTTATTGATTGAATGAATACCAGTGTAAACAGCCAAAATGTAAAAAAAGGGGAGCAATCCCATAATATTTGTATTTTATACACATTTTATTAACTTGCTCCATGATTATTTCCAATGTTGTATATATATTATTTCATATAAGTATATGAACATAATTCTGAAAGAAATGTTGAAATATTGAAAAGTGTTAAACGATAGAGAACCAAGGACAACATTTGAATAACAAACAAACTTTTAATGTTTTCAGAAGAACTCGCACAACTGTATTTAGGACAGAAACGGGCTTTGGAACCAAGAAAACAAACATTATACTGAGGGTGAGCACACATCCTGTTACTGTTAATAAGATGAACAAGGATTTGAAGCACACCAAGCCTCATAAGCCAAAGGTTCACGCACTTTCATGATAAAGATGGCTTAAAAAACTGGATTTACAGCAATTCCATTTGATAACATTCCTGTAAAGTCTTCCGATACAGTTTAAATGGACTTCAGTGTGCTTAAGTGTTCTCAGGATCAGTTGATAGGCTTGAAATTGACTTTACAGTCCTTTGGAAAAGCTTATTACATTATACATTTGTTGTCAGACAACAGTGCATATTTACAGCCATCAGACTTTGCATAATCAACAATTGAAATGATATTTCTAAAAGAATTAAGGACCTGGAGCAACGTTCTTTCAAAGCATAACTAACCATCAGTGTATTGAATGCAAGTACAAGCTATCTTTAGTTACCACAAAATATATAAACCATACATAGATTTGCTATTTGATAGCATTCCCTATGAATTTATGTTTCACAGTTGTAATAGTTAATAAAACACGTGTGGCTATAATGCATGACATACACGCTGCGTAGTAACATCTTTAATACGGAAATATTTTCAAATGACGAGATTATTTTTCTATTTCCTAGGAGCCATTTCGGATCTCAACAATGCTATCAACTTAAGTGAAGGTAAAGGCAAGGCGGCTTGTCAAGCATACTGCCAAAGGGCTCTGATACATTGTTTGCACAAAGATGATGAACGTGCTTTGGAAGATTTTAAGATAGCCGCTGCTTTGGGCAGCGAATTTGCTAAGGCTCAAGTTGTCCGAATGAACCCATACGCAGCCTTGTGTAATCAGATGTTAAGTAAAGTAATAGACAATTTACAAAGAGGTGATGTTCTGCATTAATAATAACTTCCGATCAGAAACGCTATGTACTAAGAGCGAAACTAAAAATCAACTTGGCCATCAGTATAGATAATTAGATATGCTTTTCTTACGTTTCTACTTATAAAGAT